CCCATGTCCACCTCTACTCTGAAACCTACACTTGATTCAGTGGTATTGTACCAGTCTTTAACACCATCACAAAGAAAGAACACAATAGAACCAAACTCTGTTCAGTTTCGAACTTAAAAATGGAAAGCTGATAAAACTCATGACAAAATGGTTCTGCATTAGGGAACTTCAATCATATGCTGCTGGGCTTTGGTTTTTTTCACTTGCTGGATTTTCTCTCTGCCACTGGAGCAGCTGCAGGAATTCAAGCACCCTGGACAGACTGCATAACAGGCATTAGGAGACATCCCTGATTATCCCTGACAGGCAGACTGGGGAATTTTCTGGGAAAATTCAAAGGCTGGACATGAGCTACTTGATCTGGAGGAATCATTAGTGGTCAAAGAATAATGCAGGCTACTTTCAGGCACACACAGCCCCAGCCACTTTGGCCGTGATCTCCATGACCACAGTAGATTTTTGGAAAGTGTGAGATTAAGTTCATTTCCTACTTCCAATGAATATATAAAACTGAGTGATATAAAGTGAGTTGTCAGTAAAAATGAGATGGGGAACTGGAGATAGTAAGACGGCCCTACACTGGATGAATGAGGTCTCTAAAGTAAAGGAGAAAAAACGATGAGCATTAAAGCAATATCAAAACACAAAAGGAAGTTGGACTGTACCCATCCTCCTAGAAGGTATGCAAACACCAAGTTTCTAGACTGAGATTTAGCCCGAAATGACTTGATTAAGTTCAAGCAGTGTACAATGGATTCCGTGGCTGTGTTAGGGTAGTAATTGCTTTACCACTGTGTGAACCTTCTGGATCACAGTTTTCCAAGTTTCATCAGGATGCACAGTTGGGGCAGGGGATCTGTAAGAATCTGGGAAGGCAATCTGGGAGGAAGGGAAGAACAGTTGCTATGACATCCATCCTCTAAACCAAAGGCCAGCATTTCTGTTATTTTGGTTTTAGTGTTTTGTTTTTAATGTCAAGTCTATTCCATTGAATTTCAGCAGCGCCTAAGATTTTCAGGGACAAGGATATAAAAACGCAAGTAGCAAAACCAATTTTCAAATTCATTTAAGTAATCCAAACCACTCTTCCTCTCCACTGAACTGCACGCTTATTTTAAAATACCTTATTTCAGTTATTTCAAAAGATTCCAGTTCTCCAGGGCATAAAAACTGGTTGCATCTAGGAGGTGGAAAGCGGGTGCCTTGACCTCAATTGTGTAAATAAGTAAACAGAGTCAAAAGTGGGTGAATAAAGACAGGTGCAGTGATTTGATGAATTAGAGTTTATGGATGCAAATAATTCTGATAATTTGGATTGACACCACCACTGTCCTGAATCCACAGTGAAGTAGAGGCCAATGTAGATCTTCAGGAGTTGTCATTTATATTGATGACAAACTTGTTTCTTCTTAGTGCCTGTGCTTTTAAAATAAATGACAGAGAAGGAGTTTGCAGGTTTCCAATCAACAATTCAGATGATGTATTGATTTATGGATACCTTTATCAAGTTTTTCTTAATTTCTACCATTTCCATGAATCGACTGCAGCCCCATGCTGTGTCAATGTGTGACTCACAGCTAGTGGCAGCTGAATCCACATGCCCTTCAGGTCTCAGAGCTTTCACTGACCTCTTTTGGTTTCAACAGTAAGGTGGTTAGTGCTTGGAAGACCCCAGGAAGCCTATAAACACCCCTACCACTATTTTTTGAATAAATTGTATTGTGTACATTTGAGGTTTACAACATGATGGGTGGAATACACATAGATAGTAAAATAGTTACTATTCATAATGAGGTAAATCAACATCTATCATCTCACATAGTTACTTTTCTTTGTGTGACAAAAGCAGTTAAAATCTACCTATTTAACAAGAGTCCCTAATACAATACAATTTCATTAACTTTAGTCCTCATGTTGTACATTAGATGTGTAGGCTTGTTCATCAGATATATCTGCTATTTTATATCCTTTGACCTTCATCTCCCCATTTCCTGTCCCTTGCCACCACTTCTGTAGTAACCACTGTTTCATTCTCTAAGTCTGGATATGTGAGCTCTTTTTATTTTAAGAGAAGACAGTATCAGCCTTTTTTCCTGCAACCTACTGTCCAACTTCCTTCTCCTCTCCAGGCTTAATATTGGGTGCAGGGGAGAGGCGTTGAGGAAGATAAGACAGAAAGCCTCCAAAAAGGTGAAAAATAAAATCAGAAATCAAGACTTTCCTGCGTCCCCAAATCTTCCCAACTCAAGTCTATAATGATGTCTTTAAATATTTCAATCCATACTAG